TTTTTTTTTTTTTTTTTCCCAGAGTTTAAGTTTTATTGCATGCTAGGCAGTTGATTGGCCACTGAGCCATACCCCAGTCACAGAAAATTTCTGATCCTTGTTAGCAGAATCCAAGGATGTAGAGCTCCTGGCTTGAGCAGAGACCCTCTCCCCAAGACTCATCTGCTGCCTGCTGGGGATCCCCCTCTAACAATCTACATAGCTTTCTTTCATATTCACCTCTTCCCAATGGGATTCTTCAAATTGCTCCTAAATACTAAGTAACATTGTGTTCAGGGGCACATGCGTCTAATCCTGGCTACTTGGGAGGCTAAGGCAGGAGAGTAGCAACTCTCAGTCCAACCTTGGCAAGTTAGCCATTTAGCAAGACTCCGACTTAAAAAAAAAATGGGGGCAATAGGGTTGTGATACAGCTCAGTAGTGGATGCCCTAGGTCCAATCCCCAGTACCACTACTACCAAAAAACAAAAAACCAAACTTCTCATTTATGTGCTGCTGTAGTCTCTCAGTGATAGGAGCAGTTATACTCATGGGATAGAACAACGTTGGCCATTGTAAGTTGAGGCGAAGTAACTACGTCATCTTTTCCGCGTGGCTTGGGCACTGTTAAAAAAAAAAAAAAAAAGACAACCCAAACTGAGGCTCAGGGATTTAACTCAGTAATGCAGCACCTGCCTGGCAAGCATGAAGTCCTGAATTCAATTTCCGGTAACCAAAACAACAACAAAAGCTGGAGAGGTAGCCCGGTAGTACAGTGCCTGCCTGGCAAACACTGGGCCTTTGGTTCAATTCCCAGCACCACAAGTAAATAAACAGATACAAAAACCAAAACAAAACAAAAAAACTGGCCCTGATGGCACATGCCTCTTAATCATGGCACTAAAGGGCTGAGGCAGGAGGATCACTATGAGTTCAGTGCCAGCCTGGACTGCACAGTGAGACACAGACCCACAGCAAGACTTTCTTTTTTTCTTTTCTTTTTCTTTTTCTTCTTTTTTCTTTTTTTTTTTTTTTTGGCAGAACCAAAGATTGAACTCACACCCTTGTGCTTACCAGGCAAGCACTTATTCTACTGAGCCATCTCCCTGGCCCCGACTCTGTCTTTCTTAACTCCCTCCCCAGCAAAAAATCCAAACAATCCAATTATAATAGGTAAGACAAGAGAAATTTTACTGAAGGTCCTTGAAGAGATATCACCACACACCTTTCTGAGTT